AAAAAAAAAAAAGAAAAAGAAAAAATTATTAAGTGTCAGGCACTGGGCTAAATGCTTTGTGTTCATTTTCTCATTTTATGGAATCTTCACAGTAGTCCTGTGAGGTAGATACTGTTGTTGTTTTCAGCTGATGACACCGAGATTTAGAGTGGGAAAGGGGCACACCTGAGGTACATGACTTTTAAATGGTACAGGTATGTCAGATTCCAAAGTCCTGCTTTTAACCATCCTATCACCTCTTATGCCTGTAATCCCAGTGCTTTGGAGGGCTGAGGTGGGAGGATGGCTGGAGGCCAAGAGTTCAAGACTAGTATGAGAAAGAGTTAGAGCCCATTTCTAAAAAAACCCCAAAAAACTAGCTGGGTGTGGTGGTAGGCACCTATAGTCCCAGCTGTCTATGAGGCAGAGGCAGGAGGATCATTTGAGCTCAGGAGTTTGAGGTTACAGTGAACTATGATAATGCCATTGCATTCTAGCCCAGGTGACAAAGCAAACCCTCCCCCTCAAATAAGTAAACAAATAAAAGAATTATTTGGGGCTGGACACAATGCCTCATGCCTGTAATCCCATTGATTTGGAAGGCCAAAGCAGGTGAATTGCTTAAGCTAAGAAGTTTGAAACTAGCCTGGGCAACACAGCAAGAACCTTGTCTCTGCAAAAATTAAAAATTAGTAGGGCAGGGGGTGTGCACCTGTAGTCTTAGCTACTTAGGAGGCTGAGGCAAGGAGATTACTTGAGCCCAGAAGTTTGAGACTGCAGTGAGCTATGATTATGCCACTGTACTCCAGCCTGGACAACAGAGTGAGACACTATCTCTTCAAGAAAAGAAAAAAGAATTATTAGGTATTGTTATTTCCACTTACAGATGATAAATCGGAGAATTTAAAGAACTTGCCTAAGGTCACCAGCTAGTAATGATATAGTTTAAACTCCAGCAAGCCTGATTCCAAAGCCCTCTGCTCTACTGCCTTCACAGATTAGCAAGACTTCTGCCTGCTCTATCATTCCCTACTTCACCTAAATCACTGAGCCCTGTCCCTTTGTCATCCAGACAGGTGGATGAGCTGCAACAGCCAATAGAGCTTGAACTGAAACAAGAGCTGGAGTCATTAGACCTAGACCTAGGGCCGGAACCAGAGCCAGAGATAGGGCTAGGCCTGGAGTTAGAGTCGCTGCTAGAGGCCAGACTGGATCTGGGACCAGCCATAGAGCCTGTGCTGGAGCCCGTGCTGGAGCCTGTGCTGGAGCCTGTGTTAGAGCCGGTGCTGGAGCCCAAGCTGGAACCCATACTGTGCATGGTGTCACAGACAGTACCAGAGCCAAACCTGAGACCTATGTCACAGCCACTGCTAGAGCCAGATTTGCCTTGTGATCTGAGACACTTGAACACTGATGAAATGGAAAGTAAGTATTGAGATGGGGCTAGGGAAGGGGGTACACATTCTCTTCCCCACCTCCCCTCCCTTACCTTTTACTGAAAAGCCTGAGCTTCAAGCTCTTCATTGGAGAAAGGCTCGTTTCCTGGTGCTTCCTTTTATTAGGAAATACAGATGCTTTCCCCTACATCCTTATTCCTCCATTTCCAAAATTCTTTCTCAGGTCTTATCCAGGCTTTTCCTGCCACCCTCCCTCACTTCCCCTAGTAGGTTGAGAGCTCCAGACTAAGGTCAGGGCCTGATTTTCTCTTTTGGATATTCTAGTCTTCAGAAACTGTGTAAAGATTGAAGAAATCATGCCAAATGGTGACCCACTATTGGCTGGCCATAACACCATGGATGAAGCTCATGTCTCCCGCCCCAGCCATTTCTACACTGATGGACCCTTGATTCCTTCTGACTACTAGGACCTGCATCTCCCCTGTTCTTTCCATATTGCTTGCCCCTCCTAGCCCTAACATCAGGATGTTGTCTCCAAGGTTGGTAAATCAGGCATGTGCCCCTGCTAGGCTTGTTTAACCCAGGGATTTAGGGTGAGAAATAAAAACATAACATGGCTTCCTAAGGGGCAGCAGCAAATCAGAATAGGTGCTGCCTGTAGTTCTAAATAGGATCCTGGAGGCTGCCCACTGTGCTGGGAGGTGTCAATGTCCTGGGGGTAGGCCAAGATGTCTGGAAGGTACTTGCTTGGCTCAGGGCAGTTTGCTTTTTTTTTTTTCAGTATGGAAATTGTTTTCATAGCTGATAAGCCTAGGTTGGTTCACTCCAGCATTAGCCCTTGGTGGGGAGCACAGACACACAATAGGATTCTTTCTTCTGATTCCTTCATGTCTGGGATAACTTTTTCTTTCTTCTTTCCTTTACTTCTGACTCAAATTTTGTATTTCTTCTTTCCCTGCCGGGGCTGAGAGCTTTCTGCCTCAGCCCCTATATGAGATTCCGCTCTGTATAAGGGGAGAGAACCAGATCTATTCTTCTTACCCCAGTCTCCTCCCTTGCTCTGCCCGTAAGCTTGCTGCACCCATTCCTCTGCCATAAAATGATCCTGCACACTAAATTATGCTGCTTAATCCCCACTTTCCCAGTGCTTAGGAGACAGATCACTCCTGGAGGCTGGGGATGGTAGAATTGCTGGGAATTTAGAAATTTCCTTTTATAGTATTAGAATTTTATGTTTTTACAAAAGAAGAGAAGCACTGGGTCTGAACTATTTCTCTATTATAGTATCATCCCCTTTCTTTTGTACAATATGTTGTTTAACTGAAAGAAACGTTTCTATTCCTTGGATGTGGACCTGGGCAAAGACCAAGTTCCCAGAACTTAAAGTTTCAAAAGTTTGTCACAGGCCTCTAGACAGCCTCACACCTTGGCTGTTCCCAGGGAATCCTGGGGCCCATTGCCATTGCTCTAAGAGGTGCTTCTGGTGTAACTTGAGATATAAATGGGAGTGAGGTCCTGCACATGTGGTTGTTTCTTGCCTGTTTTGTCAGAGGAACAGTCCTGTTCAGAAAGGGGCCTTTTTGAGCATAAATGGCTAATAAACTTTTTGCTCACCTGGAAGTGTTTCATCTCTGAACTTCTTTACTTCTCCACATACAAAAACTAATGTCCTTAGGGATACCAACAAACCATATAGGAATGAAATCAGCAAATTGTGGCCTCCCCTCATTCCCCTCTTGTCTTGTTTCTTCTTTCCTCCCTAAATGGGAAAGTCCCTCGTGTTGCTTAGACTCTCACAGGGGGGCTGTGAGCTCTGTATATGTTAAGGGAGTGGGGCAAATGGTTATATAACTATCCTATTATCACTCAGCTGGTTGGTGGCAAGCCAGTGTAAACCTGGGTCTGACTCCAAAGTCCATGCTTTCGTGTTGGTGCAACTATAGAAAAAAGAAAAAGAAATAATTCCTAGCTCCTTCCCCTCATCTTTTTTTCTTCAGGACAGTCTTACTTTGTTGCCTTCAGTAGAGTGCCGTGGTGTCATAGCTCATAGCAATCTTAAACTCCTGGGCTCAAGTGATTCTCATGCCTCAGCCTCCTATACAGCTAGGACTACAGGTGCCCACCACAATGCCCGATGAGGTCCTGCTCTTGCTCAGGCTGGTCTTGAACCTGTAAGCTCAGGCAATCCACCCACCTTGCCTCTTCTTTTTCCTTCAAAGTTTAGTTCCTCTTGGGTGACCAAACTTCTTCCAAAGGGCCCATAGATGTCCTTTAAAGGAGAATCCCATTAGTTTGGGCAATTTACCTTTATCTTCTTAGAATGCCCTTCCTGCTCAACTGAGCTCTGACACTGGATCCTGCAGTGGTCAGAGCTCCTGTCTTTGGCTATTATACTCTGAACCAAGAAAGTAGGGAAGGAGGTATGACCACATTTCCCAATTTTGAACTCTTATGATACCATTCTGCTTGCTTAGCTATATAGGTATTAATACCAAAAAGATTCTCTACACCAGGCTTGGCACCCAAAGCACAATGGTTACGGCGCCAGCCACATAACACTAAGGGTAGTGGGTTCGAACCCAGCCCAGGCCAGCTGAACACTGCAACAAAAATATATCCAGGCATTGTGGTGGGCACCTGTAATCCCAGCTACTTGGGTGGCTGAGGCAAGAGAATCGCTTAAGCCCAAGAGTTGGAGGTTGCTGTGAGCTGTGACGCCACAGCACACTACCGACGGCGACATAGTGAGACTGTCTCAAAAAGAAAAGATTCTCTGGCTC